ATATATATATAGATACATATACATACACTATATTAAAAAGCATATTTTCTTTGGAGGGAGAAACCGGGAAGGGGATGAAAACTGCAGGGAAGTTGTGATTTAAAAGAGTGGTTAGGGAAGTAAGGTGACATTTGACTAAATATTAAAGGCAGTAAGGGATGGAGCATTCTGGGTAGAGAAAACAAGTAACAGAGGCCAGAGGCCAGAGGCAGCTAAGAGTTGGAGTGGAGAGGGGAATAGTAATTGGAATGAAGCCAAAGAAGTCATGAAAGTTAAATGTCTGAAACCAAATGCAGCATCTTCTCATCAAATCTGTTCTTTGTGTTAGAAAAATAGTATCTGAATGCCAAGGTCAGGCCTTGTAGGCCATTGTAAGGATCACTTTTCAATCTGAAGTGTGATGGGTATGGAGGGTGTAGGGCAGAGTAGTAAGATGAATAATTTACCATGTATCAGGATCCCTCTGGCTAGAGTAGTTGTGAAGGAGGGTGGGAGTAAGAGTGGAAGTGGGTACCTTTATTTAGGAAGCAACTGTAATAATGAGTAATGATATTTGGGTCAGTAGTAGAGGTGATTGAGAAGTAGACAGATTCTGGATCTATTTTGAAGGTAGTAAGGTTTACTGATAAAGCTGTGTGTGAGATGGAAGTGTCAAGAATGACTTCCATGGTTCTTGACTTAAGCAACTAAAAGGAGGGAGTTGCTGTTAAGTGAGGTTGGAAAGGCATCAAGAGAAGAATGTCAGGGTGGGAGAGATCAGAACTCATCTCAAAGTGGTACTTAGATATCCATTAGACAGGGAAGTAGATATAAGGAGTAGGCAGCTGGGTAAAAATAAGCAAGGAGGTGGTCCAGATAGGAGATACTGAATTTGGTATATGTTTGGGGGTATTTAAAACTGTCAAATTGGATGAGATTTCATAGGAAGTTAAGATAGAGAAGGGAAGAAATTAGAGGGTTGAATCCTGAGGTTCTTTAGTGGTAAATGTTTGGGGAAATGAGAAATCAGCAAAGGAGACTGAAAAAGAGCTACTAGTGAGGTAGGTGAAAAATTAGGCAAGTGTTGTGTCTTGGAATGCGAGGGAAGTATTTTTCAAGGGACTTGTTGAGTGATTTGCAGCTGATGGGTCGAGTAGTGAGTTCTGGTAAATTTAGCAATGTAGAGAGCATTAATGACTTTGGCAAGCAGTTTCTGTTTAGTGTTGGAGGTAAAGACTGATTTGAATGGAAATGAAGAAAGTAAGAGGACAGTAATTGGAGGCAACAAATATAGATAATTTTGAGATATGCCGCAAAGGGAATCAGAAATGAGGCAGTGGGTGGAGGGAAATAAGGAAAAGGGACACATTGCTTAAGCTGCACGATATTCTAGTATATTTGTAAGCAGTTTGAGAATGATGGGAAATAGAGGGAAAAGTTCATGGAGAGTGCACGGAGACAGAATAATATGCTTGGAGTTACCCTTGAGGAATGGAAAAGAGACAGGTTGTAGCATACTAGAAGAGTATGTTTGTACATTCAACAAATTATTTGGCACTTATTTTTTTGTCAGGCACCATTTTGGGAGCCTGGAATATTTCATGGAGCAAAACAAAGATCTCTGCTCTCTAATGGGGCATTCTAGAGGTTGGTCATGATAGGAGCATGGACAGTTCATCTGTGGTAACAGGAGAGAAGGTGTTGGTAAGCGAGAGCTTTTGGAAAATCTCTTCTAATTCCTTTTTTACTGAGAAACAGAAGGATGAACAGTAGTTATGAGAGAAAAATTATTAGATGTTTGAGGAGAGAGGGAAGGGTATGAAATTGTTTCTAGGGGAGAAGGAGAGGGCACATACCCAAATGATGTATGGTTGCTGGGCAGACGTAAGAGTGACAGTTAAAAATTCAGAGACTAGCATGGTGTGTTTTTATTTTTCTAACCCCATCAACTACACAGGTAAGGCATAATAGACCAGGTAGAGCATTGGATTTAACCAAGATTGTGATTTAGCAAAGTTCTTGAGGTGAAGGAGAGAGGGACCCAGGGGAACTGAATGTGTACATGGGAATGATTTTGTGATTAATCTTGAAAGCAAGAAAGCTGGGATAGGATGGAAGTGAGTAGATAAAGAGGAATGAAGGTTAGTGAACAGGAGGAGAAATAGATTGTAGCTTGCAGTAGATAGAAGTGTTTTTGGTGCTCAGGAACTGTAGAAACTAAGCTGGAAAGATAAGAGGTGGTAGGGAGTGGGATTGGAATTGAGATTTTGGAGAGGTTTCAGATACCAGTAATAAAAAGGTATAAGTAGCTGAGATAGGAAGATCTTCTAGGGAGAGCAACTCAAAAGAATGAACAGGACAGGGCTAGGATCATCTATGATGATATTAAAATCACTGAGTAGTAATATTGGTGGAAAGAGTGACAGTGACCTAGGAACTAAAATCTTTAAGAAATAAGAGCAGGTTACTCAAACATTAAAAGATGTCTATAACAAAGATATATTGAGTGACATGGTCTGAAGACTTTAGATTCAAAGCTAGTTATATTTAAGGAGGAGGCAGGAAGAATGGTTGGGAATTAGTTAAGAGCAAGGACCTCTTGGTCCAATGATAAGCTATCTTAACTTCTCTATCTGGCTCCTAGCACAGTGATAAGAAAATAAGAAAAAGTCATTAATTAGCTGCAGGGGGGTAATATATATATGATCACAGATCTAGAAGGTGAAAAGAATATTCAGCAAAGAAATTGAGGATTTAGAAGAGTTTCTTGTTAGGAAGTGTTGAGTTCCAGAGGGCACAGTAAAAGGTTCTCAGGATTTAGGAGGTGGAGGTGTTAGATGGGACAGAACAGAATATGTGGAACCATATGGAGATTGGAGTGAGGTAGAGAAGGGGTGACTGAGGTGTCTGGGACTATGGTAAAGAAGGATAAAGCGGCCGGTAAAGTTGACTAGTCCTGGTTGTCTGAGGACAGATAGTGTGGTGAGGCTGTGTTGGGTCATGGTATAGATACCATCACTCTTGCAGGTGGAGATTGTAGGTTGAGGGATGTGCAGTTTAAGTGCCTGTGGGGCTTCCTCTTGACCACTGCACGTGGAGACTCAGGGAATAAGAAGCTGCTTGTCACCCTCTCTACGTGGTGTAGCTTGTTGACTACTAAGCTTTGCTTTAGGGAAGCCAGTTACAGGAGGAGAAGGTTTTTACTCTGGAGTGCTGCATCCATACTAGCTAGTCTACTTCTTATCAGACAGGACATGATGAGATATATCTGCCTGCTGATGTCTCCCATATCTGTTATATATAGTTCAGGTTTCCCCACAGAGCTCCAGGCCAAATATATATCTATCCACTGAACGTCTTCACTTGGATATCTCATAAATAAATCCTTTTAAATGTCTGAAACCAAATGCAGCATCTTCTCATCAAATCTGTTCTTTGTGTTAGAAAAATAGTATCTGAATACCCAAGCTGGATCTTCAGTCATCACTCTAGAATCTGTTTTTTTTTCTTTTTCATATATCTGGTTATCATTAAATCCTATAGGTCTTATCTCCTAAATAGCTCTTGGATCTTTCTGCTTCTGTTATTTCTAGTGCCTGTCAGTTCAATTTACCTACAACTCCTGCTCAAATTATTGAAACAACCTCCATTCTTGTTCTCCCACCCCAATTTTTAGCCATATTGAGCTACTTTCAATTCCTCACATACAGCAAACTGCTTTTGGCTTCTGCTGGTCTGCTGATATAGCAGTGAGTTTCATTGCAGATTCATTGCAGATTCAGTATTCAGTGCATGAGACTTCTCTAAAGCATGTTCATTCTTTTTTCAAAGCCACATGCTTAATATAGAGAGAATAGTCTGAGTAGCAACTTTTGTTCATGAGATTTCTAGTAGAAAATGAGGTTACCAGATCTTTGCTTTCTTTAAAAAAGTATAATTTCCATTCAAAAAACAGTGGTTTTTTTTTTTTTAGGGGAGAGGATTTTTTTTTCATATGCTTGTATTTTAATTTTTGCTCAACTTATACCAGTTACATTAATATAAAGTCATTAAGTTGTCCTTTTATTTGCTGTTTTTGTTTTCATACCCCTGATGATAAGTCTTTTTTTAACTGGTGATGCTAGATAGTGATGTTTATCACAGATTCCTTAAGCATCTTAGGAAATCTGTTTGTTAATGAATTGTTCTTTTATCTTTTACTACAGATGGGAACTTAGGTTTCTTTTTGTTTGTATTTTATTGAAGGTACGGCTTGTAGATGCAGGCTTTGTTTGGACTGAGCCCCATTCTAAGAGACTTAAAGTTAAACTGACTATTCAGAAAGAGGTAAGCTGTATATAATTTCCTCAGCATGGTTAAAGTGTAGGTGGTGATAATGAGGAGCTCTGCTTGAATAGCTTAGAAGGAAAAGAATATGCTCTTAGTTTTAAGTGTAGTCTTTTCGATGATCTGTACTGATGATCAGGTCACTAATAAGTGCATTATTGTTCATTATTAGCGGGCTAAGATAATCTTTTCAAAGTTATTTATAGAAGGAAGAAGATTGAAGTAAAAGTATGAGCTGATGCATTGTTTCTCAAACTTGGCTGATCATCATGACTCAGTCACTGAATCATACTGGATTCAACTGGATGTGAGACCCAAGAATCAATGTTTAAAAAGATTCCCAGGTGATTTCTGATGATGGGCTATGTTTGGGAACAATGGTATTAAGGCGTGTTTTCTTCTGAGAGTTTTGTCTTTTTTCTTAGGATGAATTTTATATACACACATACACACACACATTTATTTAGATAAAAAAATTCTTCAAAGAATATCTACATAACCACTTCAACTAAAGATAAATTTGAAATGTTAATCTAATAAATCCTAGGAATTAAACTTGTTTTTCTTTCTTAAAGTAATATAACTTATGACTTGAAATTTAAATGATTTATTGTTGATGTACTCAAAGTATTCTTGGAGAAAGATTTTAAGTTAAATATTAAAGCATTTTCTTTTAAGAAAAATATTTGTTATTAAAACAGAAAGGAAAGAAAGACTAATTGTTTTCTTTATCAGGTGATGAATGGTGCTATCCTTCAGCAAGTGTTTGTTGTGGATTATGTTGTTCAACCCCAAATGTGTGGAGACTGCCATAGAGTAGAAGCCAAGGATTTCTGGAAGGCAGTTGTTCAAGTCAGGCAAAAGGTAAGGAGAGAAAGATGATGAGTGAGTCCTCCGTCTTGCATTTTATCTTTGTCAATTATAAACAGCTAGTAAAACCTTCTCCTTTCCCTTTCCAAATCCTGAAGGCAGCAGGGATAGTGTAGGTCAGATTTTAGATAACCTTTGAAGATTGTTTTTGTTTTAAAAATCAATGTGCCATATCTGCAGATGGTTTTTTACTTTTGTTGCTTTTTGCATTTCATTTACTAATCTAATGCATTTGTGTTTAGACGTTGCACAAAAAAACTTTCTACTATTTGGAACAGTTGATTTTGAAATACGGAATGTATCAGAATACACTTCGTATTAAAGAGATTCATGGTGAGTTAAAATTTTAAAGAATTTGAGTTAAGAATTTCATTTCAACTAACCCAAAAGTCTTTTATCTTTATAGATAATATTTTGAATAGTACTATACAAAATAACTTTTAGGAAAAAGCAAATGTTAGTTCTTTCTGTGCATTATCTGATATGGTAGCCACTAGTCATATGTGGCTATTGTCTACTTGAAATGTGGCTAGTGCAGCTGAAGAACTGAATTTTTATCTTATTTTAATTTATTACATTTATTTCCATTTAATTTTGATTTATACTAATTATTAAACCAGTAATTACATTAATACAAAGTAAACTGCTATGATAGAAAATTCATCAAAAACTTGTCTTAAGCAAAGATCAGTTTCTGATTAGAAGAAAATTAGTTTTGAGATCTATTAGTTCTTTTGTTATAGGTCTGTTTTTCTTATGTCTAGAGGCATTTGTGATGGATACATTAAATCAGAAGTCTGTACTCAGTAATAAACAGTAATACAAATGATATAATTAGATTTTTTGAAGGTGGAGTAAAAAATTTTTGTGTAATTTCGTGACTCCTTAGAGTATATTCTTAGTACTGTTGATGTCAAATACACATACAAAATAATGGGTGAATATTTCTTTAATTAATAATAGAAAACATAAATATTCTTTAGCAAACACTAAAATCTCTTGATGAAGGTTAATATTTTTAGCTTGCTATGAGTTGACATGGAAATTGTTTTCCTAGTCTCTAAAATACTAGGCTTAGAGAGCTGTTCTTAAAGAAAAAATTCATATGCTCCTTATTTTAAAACTGGGAGTTCCACTGTTAATACTGATCTGTTACTTGTTTATCTTAGAAGTGTGGTCTTGGGTCCTTAAAATGCAGGGAAGTGAGTTTCAGTTAGGTCACCTGGAGAAAATCTTGAAAGCTTTGTATCTGACCTGAGCACATCACCAGTAGACATAATGTTAATAGTCTAAATTGGTGAAACACAGTTTAGTGAATACTTACTGTAGATTAGGTACCTTGTTGCCTGTTTAATATAGTGCCTGGCTATTTGTGGCTAGCCACCAGTAAAAATATACCCTTGGTATGAGTAACTTTGTTTTGAGTAATTCTTTTGGGGATTAAGGAGACCCAAATATAGCTAAAAAAGAAAACATTACTGTTTATCACAGTGGCAGAATTATCCTCACACGGAGTTTTTCATAGCGAAAGACGTGGATACATTCTGGAATATACTTTTGCAGTCTGTCAAAACTAAAAATGTCCAAGTTTAACCCTTTTTTTCTTCCAGAAGAATTAATCTTTTTTCTCCCTACTGGTTCTTTGTTTGATTTAAATGTATCTTTGTTTATTTGTAACTTTGTTTTTAGAAATCACAATAATAGTAAAAATTTAAACAAAGAAGTATATGAATAAAGGACTTCTACCTCCCTTTTATCCATTTCTTATCTCCACAAGTAT